GAGTGGCGCAGTGGTGCAGCTGTCGGCAGTCCGACACTTTCTCTTGTCGTACACATTCTGCGGGTACAGGGTGCTTACTCTTGAAACCAATCTCAATATCAATGCAATTTCAATCCAATAAAATCTCAATAATTATTCAATGTCACCACTATACAACCCCAATCGTAGCTGTTACAATAGCATGCAGAGTACGGAATATAAAGCCAAGCTCAATACCATTTAGTTCATTAAATATAAATGCAATACGGATGCAATGGGCGCTAGTGTTGCAACTCGAGAGTACGAAATTTCACAATACCAATGTCGATCGATCGGAATTGGATTCAAGAGTAAGCCCCCAGGTTGCTTGTCATATACTTACCACATTTGTCAACTGTACAGAAATTTTAACTGTATCGTCGCTTTTGGAATAAGATTTATAGTCTTTTGGTAAGATACGGCTGCCTCGTTGGCCAAGTGGTCGCAAGTGCGACTGCCGGGCAATGGGTCTCGGTTTCGATTCCCGGGTCGGGCAAAGTATTACTGGGTTTTTAAAAATCTCAGTAGTAGCACGGAGTCTGTAAATGTGCCCGGTATATGGCAATAGTCTCACCCCTATTACATGGGACTCATAACATAAATAGTGAAAAGTGGGTGTTACATTAAGTGCCGTAGTGTGCACCTCTGCCTACCGTTCCTGAAAGTTGCACCATGCCTCCATGATAGATATTATTTCATTTTAATGTCCATAGTAATGGTGGCTGCGGAGTGGAATCTACCTATTTGACACCAAGCTTATTTTTCTCGAGGATATCGCAAGCAGTACAGACTGCTTCATCGGCCGAGTGGTCGCAAGTGCAACTGCCGGGCAAGGGGTCTCGAATTCGATTCCCGGGTCGGGCAAAGTATTACATAGTTTTTCAAAAAAAATCACAGTGGTAGCACGGAGTCTGGAAATGTGCCCGGTATATGGCAATAGGCTCACCCCCTATTACAAGGGACTCATAACATAAATAGCCTAGTAATACTTTGCCCGACTCGGGAATCGAACCCGAGACCCCTAACCCGGCAGTCACAATTGCGACCACTCGGCCAATGAGGCAGTTTCCCCCTCAAAATAAGAGTTATAAGTGATATTTTATTTTATTTTAAGGGGGGGAAATCATCGAATGACTGCTCCCGCCTGGGTGAGGCGGAAGGGAGTGTCAGACTCTTACTGATTAAAAACCACCCCGTTCCTTCTCCTGCACGTCGAGCCGGAGCCCCGGTTACCCGTTAGGTTCTCCGCGACGAGTTATAAGTATTCAATTTAATTCCTCAATGAACTTCATTAGTTTGTAAGATAAACAAAATTTTGAGTATCTAGCACTGACTTATAAGTCATTACTTATCATCCAGTTGTTACACAACAGTATTAATTACAGAGATTATAAATTTCTTTGAAACTTAGATACAGAGTTATGATTCAACGAGCATGGAAACTTATTGATAAATTCAATAATATTATCAATGGATGAATGTATATGTGTGTATGATTATCAGATATTAATCTTTTTTAAAAGTAAATATTATGCCTATCTCCACGACATCTATTTGTCGCATAATCATGGAATTAGTCAATTGGGTTGTGGTTGGTACAGGGTGTTTGGAAAATAGGAGGAAGAGGTTTGATGTTTTAAAATCAACGCGCAACGTGTCGCAGGTTCGATTTCAGCACTGAGCAACTCTTTGTGTGATCCACAAATTGTTGTTACGGGTCTGGGTGTTATGTGTATATGAAGTTGTATGTTTGTAAATGCACCCATGACACAGGAGAAAATCGTAGTGTGGGGCAATGTTTAAAAATATTTTTTTTTATATATTTGATGGGGCGACGTTTGACCACTATTTCGCCTGGTGGTAAGCGATGATGCGGTCTACGATGGAGCACGTCTGCCCATAAGCAATCTATTTACTCAGGCCTTGAAGACACCCAGGAAATATAGACTCTGGCAAAGCATTCCACTCTTTAGCAGTACGCACAAGGAAGCTTGACTCAAATTTAGTATTTTTCCAGCAATTTTTTAATAAATAAGTACCTACGCTGTTGGACGCTAAAAAAACATGATGTCACAATTCACAATCTCGTACAAAATTCATAGAATACTTACTTGAAAACTGTCGTTTTTGACAGTTCGAAAAAAGTATTGAATTTGACTTGTTGTCAAATATCATATTATAATACACTGATAGACTTAAAACAACATTAATGTGATTGAGTCAAACATAAAACAACTATCTATCTATCTATCTAGTCGCGAAGAACCTAACGGGTAACCGGGGCTCCGGCTCGACGTGCAGGAGAAGGAACGGGGTGGTTTTTAGTCAGTAAGATGAGTAAGAGTCTGACACTCCCTTCCGCCTCACCCAGGCGGGAGCAGTCATTCGATGATTTTTCCCCCTTAAAAAAAATCTATCTAAGTATCTAAACTTAGACAAGTACTAGATACTTTAATATGTTTTTTATTAAACATCCTTTACTTATGTAGTACTTATAGGTATATTATGATCATATAAACCTTATATTTACTATCTTTTCCTCAATAGATCACCAACTCAAATATTATTGTTCACGAAAAATACCCAATCTTAAGATAATACAACTAAGATAACACCTTATCTGTAAAGAAATAAAATACATTATCGCTTTTGTCAACCTCGGTCGCAAAGTGGGGATTGGATGCTGCGATCTGGGATACGCCCCCACTTAAGATCCACCAATCAGAGGCCGCCATCTCATTGCGATATGTTCTTATGTACGTTTGTCGTTAATGGAATCTTGTGATTTATATAAAGGGGAAAATGTAGGTACTTGTATGAGATGAGGGGGAAAATGGTGATTAAATGAAGGAGTGTCATGTAGGAGTGGGAGTTTGGGGATTAGTGCTTAAGTAATTAGTACCCAAGTTTTGGATTATGTGTAGGTTAGTATATTTTATGGTATAAGCCGGATAAACAAGCAGACGGGTCACCTGATGATTTGATAAGCAATCGATGCCGCCCATGGACACCCGCCGCACCAGAGGCGTTACAAGTACGTTACCTTTTGGAGATAAACAATTTGAGGATTGTTGGGGATCTGGGGATTGGGGAGAGGGGGTAATTGGGCCTCCGGTAGGTAACCTCACTCAATGACGAAACACAACGCAAGCGTTGTTTCACGTTGGTTTTCTGAGGCGGTGGTATCACTCCGGTCGAGCCGGCCCATTCATGCCGAAGCATGGCGAGCTCACACTTACAAGTAGGTACTGACGACTTGCTTGTATGTTTGCGATTTCAGGTTCGCTTAAAGATTTTTGATTTAAATTGTTGGTCTGCGACCGTACGTTGTCTATTACTCAAGAGTCTATTACTCAAGAGTTACTCTCCTGAGTGTGCTTACAAGCTCTACTAGTTTCAGTATAAACCTAACTTTTTATTCTAGGTACTTGGTCTCTTTTGTTTGTTTTCGATGTCAAGTGGGCACTAGACTGCTGGCCCCTAGGAGTAAAAGGCGGGACGATGTTATGGTGTCGTTTTTTTTTGTTGGGACAAGCTCGCCATAACCTCCTAAAACCGCCGAAACCCATGTAAGCCTGGATGCAACCATGAAAACACTGAAGTCCGTCGCCACACACGACCCAGGAATATGAATGACTGTCTTGGAACCCACAACGAAATAAAACAGAAGATATTATTATAGAAGAAAAAACTATAGTTTCCATATTAAGTATGCTGTTCTCTTGAATAGACAGAAGAACGGAATAAAACTCACCTAGATTTAATCACCGCCTTATCAACAGAAGCGGATAAAACTTTTATAGAGAAGAGAGCGACAATCACCTCATAAGCGCCCCTATGTTTTTTTTGGCGCCGCCGCCACTGTTGGGCAGTTGGGCATGCGACCTTCTGTCTCCAGGCGCCTTAGACACTAGACTAGTTTGCCCCAAGGGTAACACGGCTCTGCTTTGGGAACTATCAGTCATCACAAAATTGATCTATCGGAACTCACTCAGCAGTAGCGTTTTAAACCACTTGAACCCTATTTGGTTACTGTATTATAAGGATTGGCGGTTTGTTATGTCCAACAAAACGCTGAACGTTTGTTGAGACCAAAGTAATTTTTTAAATATATTTGTGGGTTCGACGTGCTTTTGATAACTTCTCTAGGTCTTTTTTTTTTAAGGGGGAAAATCATCGAATGACTGCTCCCGCCTGGGTGAGGCGGAAGGGAGTGTCAGACTCTTACTGACTAAAAACCACCCCGTTCCTTCTCCTGCACGTCGAGCCGGAGCCCCGGTTACCCGTTAGGTTCTCCGCGACTCCGAATCGGCATCGGCCCTATTGGGCCCCATCTGTGGTGGTCTGATGGCTCTTTGAGGCGCGCGCGGAACGCGACGCGCCGTACGCTCGGGTCTGTTTCTGGTCGGACGGGGAGCCACCCATGCTCGCCGTCCGCAGGCCCGCGAACTTCTCTAGGTCTATCACAACTAAATACACCAAATAATTTATAATTTTTATTTTTATGTAACTTGTTCAAGAAACGTGAATCTTAATGCCATCTATTGGATATAAATGAAAAGTACAGCACTTTCGTTACTAAATTCAAAGATAGATGTCACTGTAAACATGTACTAATAGAAGTACTGCTACTCGACACAAGATGGCGTTAAACACTGTTAATGACAAAATAAAAAATATATTTGATGAATGGAAACCGTTTAGCATTGTTAAACAATATACATTGTTTAACATTAATATTTATTAACAGTAATAGAGCATGGAAATGTTTGGATAAAGTAATTAAAGTAGTAAAATATTTAACTTATAGTTTAATAAAAGTTTGTTTACATGCGGATGTTTGATTGAACCACCAAAATAAAAACAATCATTGGTTTCATTTTCATTCATTTATCTGCCTATTCTTATTTTTGAGGACTCCTAAATTTTTATGAAAATGTGATTATAAATTAATGTTATGATTAAATTACTCATTTTTAACCATGACGACGGAGAAAACAGGGATTTATCATTGGAAATTGGGCGACATTTCACTCGCGAGAGTTTGCAAAAAAGTTTACTCTAATGTGCAAGTAGTGAAGGACGAACGTGGATTGTTTTACGACGATAAAGGTAATAAAACATTCAATTGTTTTATTTGAGACTAAATACCGCGAATAGACCGCGACGTTTATATTTTTCTATTTCGATTGTAATGTAAATCGCTTGGGAAAACCCAGCATTCATTATTGCGCGAGACAGGTGCGTTGAGTGCGTTCATCAGCGAATTCTTCTTAGAAAAACTGGACAATCATAATAAATAACATCTTGGTAGTATTATTATTAGATAGTACCTATTCATAATTTTAAACATAAAGTACCTACCGTGCCTACTAAGAACTTGAGACTAAAGACTTGTAGGTACTTAAGACCTATCGCAATAAAATTTTTTTTGTTAAATACTTTAGATTAAGTACCTAGTTACCTACTTAGCTATCTAGAGCTAAGATACATAATGTATTTTATTTCTATTAAACTTTTAAATATGTAAATGCTATTTACACCACTAATCTCAACAATCTCTATAGCGCCGTGAGCGCCCTCTATCGGCAACTTACAATAACATTTAACAATAATATGCGGTTAACTATTGTTTTTGCTCTTAATTAATACAAATATCTAAAAGATTTAGCTCAGATTATAATATGAATATCTTTTTCTGTAACTACTTACTAAAACACTATCATTCTCTAGTTCTAGGCATATCAACCAATGAAGATGGATCCTTAGAAGTGACAGAGGAGTTGTGCTACTATGTAGAGACCTGTAACACTAAGAACAGGTTCTGGCTGCCATACACCTGCATGTTCCTGGCTGAGAGGTCCAGACCTTTCTATGGACCTGTACATAAAGCTCCTAAGATCTCCCCTCCGAAAACTGCTACAGTTCCTAGAAAGGTAATTGTGGTAACTAGTTATTTACAAATATGCTTATGACTCATTCCCTCTTACTTTAACCTTTAACAATATCTACTTTGAAAATAATTATATCAATATTCCTTTGAAAATAATTTTAAAAGACGCCCTGTTTATTGATATTATTAATAACTCAATCAACTCTGTCAAAGACAACTTTAGATTCTGTATTATAATTTGGTCGGAGCCCCAAAAATGGCGAGTCTTAAAACATGATTCTCATCTTATCAACATAAAACATTCCAGAGAAAATTAAAAGAAGATCTCACAGTACCGTTGAATGTAAAACTGAACAAAAGGGAACCGGACCTCAACGTCACTTATGATGTAACACACACTCCGTTAAAACAGGGACGGTATGAGAATGCCTTTAAAGAGTTCATACGAAGAGGAAAGGAACTTCTCTTTGATGAGTATTATGAATATTTACAAAGTGATATAGAAGCAAATAAAGATTGTCTAGATTATTTGATGAATGTTGATGCAAGTACGGAGGATAAGTTTGAAATGGTGATTAAAGCTTCGGTCACGGAGAAGGAGATTGAGAACTATCTCCGTCAATGTTGGAGATATAATTTCCTTCATAAGCAGATGAATATGGACAGGAGTAATGATACTTCGGATAGCTCGGTAAGATAAAACTGTTTATTTCATAACTATTTACTGTGTTATTTTTAGATTAAGTAATTTCTAAATTGTTGTGGTCCTTACCTATAATAAAATCAGATAAAATTCAATAAATTGAATAAATCCTGAATTTTGAATTTAATAAGTATCCTATTTGAAAGCTGAAGCAGCTGAAGTATAGAAATTAATAAATAGTCAACAATACTTTGTGTGTAAGTATAACACAGAAACCAAACTCAAGACATCAGCAATAGTTTGGTTTTATATTAAGTTGTTTATGCTCCAACCATACAATTTTAAAACTTTGATAATTTCAATAATACTGCAAAATATAAAAAATATTTGTAATTAAAATTAATTCCTTTACTTCCAGAACTCGACATCACCAATAAAGCCAGTGATCACATTACACACTCCGTGGTGCCTCGTCTGCGGGAAGGGCGAACGTCTGCGAGACTGCCCTAACTGCCCGTCCGCCTTCCACCTCGCGTGCAGGAGAGAGTGGCTTGTCACTATTATACGTAAGTTGTTATAATAATAATATAGCATCACATGGCACTTAATGCCGCTGTACAATGCAACACCCATTTTTCACTATTTATGTTATGAGTCTCATGTAATAGGGGGTGAGCCTATTGCCATATACCGGGCACAATTCCAGACTCCGTGCTACTACCGAGATTTAAAAAAAACCCAGTAATACTTTGCCCGAGACCGGCAGTCGCACTTGCGACCACTCAGCTATATATACACGTAAGTCGTTATCTCTTTAAGTATCATGTCTTATTTCAAATGTTTTTACGTCAGTTATTTAATTTGCTAATGCCGCCTCATAAAAAACCGGCGTTTCCATTAGCCTGCCTGGAATCTCAACCCCTCAAATTCATCCTCAAATCTCAACCCCTAAAGGTCAATTCTAGTACTAGTTGTTAGTTACAGGCCAGTTCTAGTAATTGATGTTCGTCTGTACCTACCATAAAAATATACTTTAGTAATGCCTACTAATAAAAATACAGCAACATAACACCAATATACAATTGGTTGCAGATCGCAAGAATCCTCCAAAGAAGCCATCTAAACCAGTGACTCTAGTTGAGAAGATACTGTCCAGTACCCGCACTATATGCAGCGTGAAGAAAGAAAAGGAGAATACTGAACTCTGTCCCAGCTGTATGTGGGGACCACGCGTGGGGTAAGCATAAATTTCCCATACTCTAGATATAGATGGAGCTACTTAATATTGGATACAATTGGGTAGTTGCCGGGGTAAAAAATAAATTATTTTGATTTTTCAATCCAATTAAATATTGAAAAATAGTTACACTTTCATTCATTGATTTGCCGATATACTTAATTTTCGATTTATTCTTGCATTTTCTTCAGATATAAGTGTGCTATTTGACGCGAAAATATGATGACGTCATAAGCTAGTATTTCGTACAAAATTCATAGAACAGTATTGTTTTTGACGTTTCGATAAAAGTATTGAATTTGACTAGTTGTCAACTACCGTATTACAGGCCCAATTAATTACCCCCTTCTCCAGTGTCCCCAATCCCCGAATCCCCCACAATCCTCAAATTCCTAATTCCCAAAAGGCCGGTAACGCACTTGTAACGCCTTTGGTGTTCCGGGTCTCCATGGGCGACGCCGATTGCTTACCATCAGGTGGTCCGTCTGCCAGTTTACCGGCATGAAAAAAAAAATACAAGTATCTCTCGGCACGCTCGTTATCACCTTTGGAATCTAACCCTTACTTGTCACCCTTCCACTAAAGCAATGATACACAAATCAGAAGGAAATTCGAGTATGTGACAGTTAATTTCTGGATTATGGTTCCCTACTTCTTATTAGGAGATTAAAGTAACCACAATCTACACACCCTGCAGGCGGGTTGGCGACCGCATTTTACAAGATACAAGTTTTTCAGACAGCGCTGCTACCCGGTCTCAGTCAAGCATGTTGTCTGTAGATACTTAATCGGCTCATACGAAGGGAAGAATACAGATGGTGTCAAGCAAACTGTACGGGCTCGGAGGGATCAGGCTGTGGATCAGTCCTCGACGAGCTTGGTGCTTTTGGAGAGCAAATGGACTGTATAATGAAACTGGAGAACTCTTGTACACTGATATACTTTATTACGATGATAATGTTAACAACACTAGTGGAGATGAAATTGACAATATTACGATCGACTGGCTATGATCGACTTTTTACATAACGACTACATACACTGACAATACATTGATAACTCATTGACAACTCATTGACCACTCATTGACAACTGAGGGCGCCTCGCAAGGAGGCGTCCTTTTATATGCGAGCCGCGCGGACAGGATAATTCCTGTTGATCGGGGCTCGCGACTCGGCCGCTCTGCGACGTTGAGTCATGTTTATACATGCTCAAAGGCAAGTTCAAACCAAGTAGCGGCGGCGCGCAACAAAGGATCGCCGCCGCGCGCCTTTGATGTTCGTGTCTGAACTTGCCTTTTCGACATGGTTCCAACAAGTTTACGACATGTCGAGGGCAGCTCGCGACCTAGTATTGCCGTCGTGCACATTTCTCCCGCCGTCGCCATCAGGCGACTCCTTGGTGAGCACGACAATGCGCTTCGCCGGTCTTCGGAGTACGAGTCGTCTGTTCATGATGTCTACTCGTACCTCTTCATCTGTGTCTGGCAGCACCTGTATCACCCTTCCTCTAAACCAACTGTTGCGTGGGAGGTAAGGGTCGGAGATCACGACGACGTCTCCAACCTTGGGTGGGGTGCCGCTGCCGTTGGGCTCCCGCCGGTTTTGAAGAACCGGCTGGTATTCACGTACCGATCTTGCCAATACGGCGACACCGGTGGTATAAGCTTCCAGCTTATAGACCGCGCATTGGACTCACTTCCTAAAGCGCTTAAGGCACTTAATCCTAGGTCCCTATCTGCCGCTTTGAAATAGGTAGCGAGACTATATCTATCTACAAACTAACCTATACCTATACTTATACCTATCCCATAGACTATGTCATGTCTACAAAATAACTTATACCTATATACCTATTCTATAACTATAGACTATCCATGTTCTATAAACTATCCTATATAGCTATAAACCTATAATATATTCCTATGTATATTGTATATCGATCTACATTCTACACATTCGTCTTTGTGCCTACCTATAGCTACAAATTTAATCCTATGACGCTGTTCTTTGTTGTTCCCGCTATTGTGTAACTGTTTATGCAAATATGTAATACCTAATTTCTTATACCTGTATTTATTTTCGAATAGAACAGGGTGTTTTATTTCTGCATTCACGTTTGCCACCGCTGTGATTTTCCCGCGCAAACGTAAAACACGTGCGCTTGCGCTACATGTACTTAGCGCTGATAACGAGCTGTTGCCGGCCGCCGCTTTTTTATACTGTATGGCGGCGGTTCCCTTTGATACGGTTTCGGCTTGCACATGCTTGTCCTTTTGTTCTTTGGCGCGTTGAGCGTAAGCAGCAGGTGTAGGTATGTACTTAACTGGGCTATTCATTTTGAAGTTTCTACTGGTTTCTTCAACTGGTTCTGGATTTTCTCTAGTAGTAATGTTGCCGCAAAATGTTCTTCTGTCTTTATTTACTGAGTAATGACATCCATGTAATACCCAACCGAGTTTCGTGAATGATGCTACCGGTTGATCGCGCGCACCTGTACGTGTTTTCGTGGCTACTAATAAATGCCAGTTATCTTGACCTATTAAAATCATCGGTCGCGCGCGGTCGTGAACAAGAGTGCTTCTTATATCGTTCAAATGCCTACAATTGTTTAAGTCTTCTGTGTGTACAGTCTGCGCCATGATTTCTAAACTGTTTACGGTGCGCGCTGCCTCTATCTTCTGCGGGACGCTGTGGTACTTGCCTTGTATGTGGAGACTAACAGTGCGGCTTTGCTCATGCTTGACTTCCGTACCTAGGCCTTGTATCTGCATAGGACTAGTTGGCCCATCTGCACCTAGGATGTCTGCCACTGTCGCGTCTAACAAGGTGACTGTACTCCCATCGTCTAACAAGGCGTATGTGTCTATACTCGTACGTGGTCCGCGTAACGTCACAGGAACTATCTTCAAGTACGCGCGGCGATTCCGAGGCGAAGTCGTTGATACTGTCTCGCGCGCTGACGTCACGGATTCGTGTACGATAACAGGCGTCATTGATGGCGGCGCGTGCGGCGGTCTGTTGTGAGTCGTCTTATCATCACGCTCTTTGTGCAACAGTTTGTGATGTTTCATGTTGCATCCCTTGATATCACAAATAGGTGCTTTGCACATATATCTTCTATGTTTATTTCGTAAACATCTAAAACATATCTTATTATATTTCACTATATTCCACCTAGTATCTATGTCTAGCTGCTTATATTTATTGCAGTCTGGTAACTTGTGGCCGTGTTGCTTGCATGCCGGGCATAGCTCACTTGATGTCCTTTTACTCACGACGAACGTGCGCTCAACTCTGCGCCGTTGTCGTACATCAATGGCGTTATCACTAACACGCTCCGGCAGCGCGTACGCGCTACACTTGTCGGCCTCTTCATTCAGAAACATAGATAATAGCTTCAATACGGGAATATCTTCGTACTTTCTGTTAGCCGCGTAATCATACCATTTATTTCTTAATATTGGCGTTAACTTTTCTATGATATTACGCGACATTTCGGGACTATGTAAATATTGGATTCTATTCAGTGCTTCTACCGTACCCACCGTGTTTGCAATACGGCTAGCAAATATACAAATATCCCTAGGGTTATCATTTAATCTAGGTAATAACTTTACATTATCTAATTCTGTCATTATCAAAGCCTCAGGCCTACCAAAACGTCTCTCTAGTGCGTCTAGAATGACCTGAGGATCAGACTGACTAAATAATAGGCTCCCTACAGCTTCCTTTGCGGCGCCTCTGAGGCTTATCCTAATCCTAGCAACATTTTCTACGCTAGAAAAGTACGTGTGTGAGTCACAATACGTGGCCTTATAAGCTATCCACTCACCGGGTTTTCCGTCGAAGACTGGTAGCCGCTGCATGTACTTCGGGGGCTCTCTCGAACTGCGCGTAACCTGCGCTAGTGCCGCGGCGAGTGTTCCTACGTCTATCACTTTATCACTCACGTTACCGTGTGACACTTCACTCGCGATATTGCCCTTTGATTTCGCACACACACATTCACACACTTTTCTGTAGCCGTTGTCATCTCGCGGCGGTTGCGCGCCCGCCGGGGCGCCGCTCGCCGTCGTTGTCGCTGCGTGGGCTGCGTCCCTGCTGATGCTCCCGCCGCTGGCGTCGTGTGGCGGCGACCGAGTCTCGCCTCCGGGTGGCGGCGCGGGTCGCACTAGCCACGTTCCAATCCTCAGGAGGCGAGGTCGTCCACCAATTCCTCGTCATCACTCGACTCAGCTTCGGCTCTGAGGCGCTGCAGCCGTACTTCCTGCAGCTCTCTCTCTGCCTGCAATTGCCTGACTTTCATCTCAGCCAGCCGTTCTTGGGCTTCCAACTCTGCGAGACGCATTCTTTTCGAGTTTGTAGAACGGCGTGACCTGGTATCGCTGGGCTTGAGCGTACCTTGCGTGGCGTCTATGTAAGTAGTCGTAGACCCGCTTCCTGTGTCCGTCACTCGGACCGAGCTCGATTCTGGTGCCGAGCTGCTGGCACCCGGTCCGGCGGTCACTGAAGGCTCTTGCTGGGTCTGTTCTCCCCTGGATTCTCCACTACGGCTGCGTGTTAACACCATTTTGCCAGAACTTTATTCGGCTTCGAAGGACCAGAAAATGTACGGGCTCGGAGGGATCAGGCTGTGGATCAGTCGTCGACGAGCTTGGTGCTTTTGGAGAGCAAATGGACTGTATAATGAAACTGGAGAACTCTTGTACACTGATATACTTTATTACGATGATAATGTTAACAACACTAGTGGAGATGAAATTGACAATATTACGATCGACTGGCTATGATCGACTTTTTACATAACGACTACATACACTGACAATACATTGATAACTCATTGACAACTCATTGACCACTCATTGACAACTGAGGGCGCCTCGCAAGGAGGCGTCCTTTTATATGCGAGCCGCGCGGACAGGATAATTCCTGTTGATCGGGGCTCGCGACTCGGCCGCTCTGCGACGTTGAGTCATGTTTATACATGCTCAAAGGCAAGTTCAAACCAAGTAGCGGCGGCGCGCAACAAAGGATCGCCGCCGCGCGCCTTTGATGTTCGTGTCTGAACTTGCCTTTTCGACATGGTTCCAACAAGTTTACGACATGTCGAGGGCGGCTCGCGACCTAGTATTGCCGTCGTGCACACAAACGTAACTTTTTTTTAATGGGACAAGCCCGCCACAACCTCCCAAAACCGCTGCAACTCCTGTAAGCCAGGATCTACAGTAGATACAACCATGAAAACACCGGAACATTGAAGTCCGGTGCGTCCCAGGGACATGAGTAACTGTCTTGATTTCCGCAACGAAGTGAATCAGAAGATATTATAAGAGGAGAAGAAGAAAAAACTATAGTTTTCACTTCAGTGTGTCTGTGTAGCAAACGTTTAACTTGAAACTAAATATAATTCCAGTTACGACGACATAGTCTGGCACAAGCTGGGCCCCTGTCCGTGGTGGCCGGCGCGGGTGCTCACTCCGGGGGCCACGCCATCTTGTCTGCTCACCAGGAACCATTCTCCTCATCATTGGCCGCTCAAGTACTATGGTAAGACGTTTTATGGTATACGGGAGGCAAACGGGTAGTCAGATAACCAGGTGGTAAGTCGTTGCGCACATAGACGCTCGTAACTCACAGAAAACCAACGTGAAGCAACGCTTGCGTTGTATTTCGTCGTGTGAGTGAGGTTACCGGAGGCCCAATTACCTTCCCCTTCTCCAATTTCCCCAATCCCTGAATCCCCAACGATCCTCAAACTCCTAATCCCAAAAAAGCCGGTGACGCACTTGTAACGCCTCTGGTGTTCCAGGTGTCCGTGGGCGACGCCGATTGCTTACCATCAGGTGATCCGTCTGCTCGTTTACCGGCTTATGCCATAAAAAAAAACACCAAAAGTGCGTTGCCGGCCTTTCGGGCCTCTGGTAACTTTCATACTGCGCAATGCAAGCGACACCTGAAGCATCACCAGTACGTTGCAGACCCTGAAGGTAACGCTGTAACTGCGCCATAATTCCCAAAACAGAGGACTGCACAAAAATAATAGCACAATCAAACACGATGGGGTTGGATATCCGGAATTCTTACTAACCTGATGAAATGCATTACGTCATCTCTTCACGCTGGCATTCTGTGAGAGGGCCTCGAGTCTGCCCCAAGTTGCAGAAACAATTAGACTCAACCATAAGCGATATTCAATCATTATCATAACATAACATCACGCCTTTTATCCCCGAAGGGGTAGGCAGAGGTGCACATCATGCCACTGTACAATGTAACACCCACTTTTCACTATTTATGTTACGAGTCCCATATAATAGGGGGTGAGCCTATTGCCATATACCGGGCACGATTCCAGACTCCATGCTACCACTGAGATTTTTTTAATAAACCCAGTAATACTTTGCCCGACCCGGGAATCGAACCCGAGACCCCTTGCCCGTCAGTCGAACTTGCGACCACTCGGCCAACGAGGCCCCTTGCCCGGCAGTCAATCATTATAAGCATGTATAGTAATTCCAATCCACAGGTACATTAAATCACGCGTGGGGAGAGGCGTCCCGCATGAGTTTGTTCCTTCCGGCGCACACGCAGACCACGCCCCGCGACGAAATGCTTGCCAAAGCTATGCTAGATGCATGTGATGATTATATCTCTGTGTACCTCACTTAGATAAGAAGGGGTGAAGATAACGACATTTTTATAATCATGTGTTCATGTTAGTTACCTTATTTTATTTTTGACTGTTTTATTAACTTTTAGTACCTAATTATTTTTTAACTTTTTACCAAAGATTACAAATGGGACTGCTGATCGGTATAGTCAGTCGTATTTGCTGTAAGAAAATATATTGATCTCATTTAGTTCTAGCCACTTTCATGTTTGAAACTTGACCTATAACGTTCTTAATAAAATCACTAAAATAATTACGAATCTTTGTTACGTTTTCGTAATAGCTCAATTAAAAAAAAGATATTGTACCAAATGGTATTCCTAGATATATATTAGATATGTAAGTACCTATTTAGATACCTATTTTAGTAATAAATGTGTCTTTCATAAATTGATTCCCTTATGTAACGGTAAAATGGGGTGAACAGGGTTTGAGCGGCGAAAAGTGATAGAAGAGGGGTGAATCGATACTATGAAGAATTTCCTTATATCTATTCACCCCTCTTCTGTCCTCGCCTCGCCTCTCGATCCTTGGGGTCAATCCCCATTTTATGGTACTGCTCTGCTGTTAGTTCTTGACTAGCCTATTCCGCAGATCTGTTCACTTCACATACGGATAATATACTGCTAGAGTATTAGTCCAAATACATTATATTCCCCTGTATAATTCGATAGGACGGCAATCCGATACGAATTATAACTCCTAATAGGTATATTTTTGTAGTCATTAGTAGCATTTCACTATAACATATCCTGCATGATTTAAATCTAGATTAATTATTTTATGTGTAACATGTGACTTATTTTATACCAAATCATCAAGGTATCACCAGCATTTTATTTCCATCCAATTTAGCTATCTCCAAATCGAAATCCGATATACAACTTATGACGTCAAAATAAGATAATAAATATACGAAAAACGTTTAAAAATCGATCAATCATATTCTGACAGGGGCTTAAGATGTCCATGATAATTCACACATAATTTATACGTGACAATAAAAAGAATAAAATCATTATATTTTATCTGTATTTTTTTTAAAGAAAGTGTATTTTTGTTTTTATTTTATCAATAAAATTAGTTGCGTTATCTATGTTGGTTTTTTATTTTACCTTGTATGTTTATCAGTACGGGGTATTCATGATTCATAGGTATTTTAATCGTGTATTTATGATATAACAGTAAATTGTTTTAGTGGACAAATGCTACGTGATCTCTCAGGTGTCAGGTGACACAAAAAGGTTATAATTAAAGTCATCGACTCGTGGTGTGGCAATCAATAATCAATCGTAGTTGGTCTTGCCCTGTCAAGGGTTGATTTTATACGAAACATACACTCATATGCATTATGTGTATAAGTACCTACGTTACGAACTAAAGCATATAAAAAATGCAACGAAACCCTTCGTCCGTGAGTCGGACTCGCAATGTCGGTGCAATTTTCTAGAACTTTTACAACTATTGATGGCATATAATTTTTCAACCTACGTCCATATATAAACTCACTGAAATAGTATAGGTATCTTGGTAGGTACACAGGTCGGAACTAGGTCTTAACATAATTCGGTATACCACCATGTACCCTGAAACCCGCTTAGGGTGCTTAGGGTTATGTTAACACATTCCTAGTTTTTGATACAATAGCTTATGATATGGTGTGGTGGGATACAATAAAAAACAATATATACATTATTTACACATTTTATTTCGTTTTTAAAAAATAATACTTTTTTTAATCAACAAGTATGAAGCAATCTGTGATTTTCAGGTCGACAATATTTTTTGTACTTATAAAATTATATATTCAACTATATTACATAATCATTACTATACATGGAACCGCCCACAAAATGGCGGACTATTTGACATTTGTCAGCCATTTTGAATGCCATAGACAACGTGCCAATGTTTCTCCATTAAAATTAGCACAGAATAAATAAATTTAATTGAATGCAGATAGGCAACTTTTTGCTCAATTTAAAAGTAAGTTTTTGTATGTGTGCGTGATATTCAAACATATAAGAGATGAGCAGAAGTTGTCCTTGCGCATTAAATTAAACACACAATTTAAAACTCGAATTCGACTCACCTAATATAACAAAGTAATGTTGTTTTTACACAGTTAATTTTCAGTTTTATAGGGTCTGAAACTTAATTTGACGTCTGTTTATACATAGTTGTTCATTGTTTTCTACAATTATTATACATTATTGCATCTATCTAAAACTTATTTAATTTACAAGTGAACTGCACATACAATTTCCACGCCAGCTATAACATTGTACTTGCACAAACATTGGCGATGTTATTATTACAAAATATACTCTAAGTTAATCAAATCAGAAGTCAATATTACATTAGCATTACTAACGCCAACATTTGTACCAATACTCCAAATATGTCACAAATATAAAGAAGTAAGATCCAGTCCCAGTTACCCTTTTAAATTCATTCAATGTAAAATGATCCTAAGTACTATTAGCATTAGCAACATTTTTCTTTGAACAGGTTTTGTAACCTTTAAAACAATTGAATTTCATGACGTAATTATTCCTTATAGATATTTGCTATCCAATGTAACTATACTATTGAATATTGAATGCTAGAAAATATAAATTCTAATAAATTGACACTGTGTGGAGGTAAAAGAATTAAATAATAATTACTAAGAATTATTATTGTTGAAATGTTGATCATATTATTATACTAGTATTTAGTTTAGTTTTTCTCATCCGTTCCTAATTTGCCTAAGAATGTGACAATATAATAGTACTAATTTTATTATTCACCAAGTAAATATAAGACTTTCATTGCTGTGTAGATAGAGGTCACCTGAAACGTAAAATCACGCCTGTAGGTACTGTTCATCAGTTATTATGACTCCCATGTAATAGTGAGCCTTCAAAGTCGGTTTGTATATTTGAACAGTATAGAAATAAGTCAAAAAATATAATATTCCAGCAGAAAGAGATAGCAATATATTTATTTAATTAATAATAAAATCAGTTCTATTATATTTCAAACTGTTTAATACGGTATTTGCCAACTAGTCAAATTCAATACTTTTTTCGAACTGTCAAAAACGATACTTTTCCATGAATTTTGTACGAGATTGTGAATTGTGACGTCACGTTTTTTTGTGTCAAACAGCGTTTTTTTTTCTTAAAAATTTGCTTGAAAAATATTAAAATGAAGTTGGTCATAAAATAAATTAATGAAAGTGTGATTATTTTTTAATATTTTATTGTATTGAACAGTCGAAATAATTTATTTTTGATTAAGGAAAATACCCAATTCTCTATATATTGTCACAATATTATTTTTGCGTGTAGAATGATGCTTTATGTGTCTTGAAAATAATTTAATTTAAATATAATTATTATTTATTACATAGATATCAATTTAACCACAAACATTTAATTTCTATACAGATATTAAAATAACATTACGATATTTATTTCCAAAAGGGATAGGCAGTGTAAGGTATCTTTTAACACTTCTCGTCAGTTATGAGTCCCTTATCGCGGAGGGCAAACCTGTTTCTTTACACTGGACATAGCTCCATACTCTATATTACCGTTATGTGTTCTCAAAATAATTTGCCCGACCCTAGAATCGAACTTGAGACTTAGTTTACAAAATTATAATCCTAGAAAACGACCACAATTATAAATTACATAAGGCATAATGGCAGACAAATAATTATACGAATTTCGAATATTTTCTCAAATTCCAACACCTAATGATAAGCGGGTTTATATAACTTCATGTCCTTATACTCCATGCAGAAGTATGCAGAACTACGGTGGACAGCAGATCAATATAGTACTTTTCTATCAAATTTCTACATTACATCATACACTTTATTATATTGTATTGACATAAAGTCGAAAATCCAATGAATTAATTGACAGATTAGACGTAGTTGATCTGCAATCACCGTACAATCATACACTGGGTACAATTTATTATTTTTTTCTTAAAAATATTGAAATTATAATTCCTAAAATTAAACAAGACTAAATGCTTACATAGCGTAGCACTAATTAAGGGAACATTTTTAAATTAATTCGAAAAAGAGGTTAAATTACGAACTAATGCCAAAATCCGTGCTGTCACTGATAATTTCGACTATTTACTGTTTTAAATGCATTTTAATTATTTTTTTATTATTAATCCGTTTTATTGTACTGTGTATTTAAAAATAAAACCTTTAGCATACATACAAGATCACAGACAAGTATAAAAATATTAATATAAATGTACACAAACGATTAATTAATTATTTAAACGCACCCGGCGTTAATAAGCGTTTAAATATAATATATATATATATATTTTAGCTAATTATTTATATTTATATAATTATATCTATAATAACATTCATACTAGGCTAGAAAAATAACTTTTGGCAATTATTTCATTGAAAGAATCTCATACACTTTTTGTCTGAAATTCTACAAAAGTATTTTTTGTGTATTAAAAAAGCACCCTACTATTTTGGTTCTGTCATTTTTTTTACACAGATAAACAAATATTATTTGCCAATGTAAGACTATGGAAAAAACAAAACAATTTTTATATTTCAAGTAGTTTGTGTGCATACTCAGGACTTTAAAAGTCCTATAATAACTAATCAAATCGCCATGATTAATTTAAAATTAAAATCCCGGTACATGTAATTCTATTAAAATACTAATTATGTCCACAGGCCGTTAACAAATCTCATTTAAAAAATAAAAAAAAACTAGTGTTTTGTCTCATATATTGATCTTTTTTCTCTCTCACACATTCTATATAACCTATACATACATACCTTCATATACATAAGACGCAAGTTTAAAAAAATAACCGTTTTTTTACAATCTTAGTTGGCATAAATTCTCTATACAAAAAAAATTCTTCACGCAAATTGTTGTTGAAAAATATACCTAATTTGTTAGGCTGTAAGGATATGAATTGCATGTCGTCTTCAAGAGTGTTATTTGAAAGTGAAAATACTTCAATTGATAAAGGGAAAGATTAAAAACTTCTTTAAATTGACATGAGACGTCAAAAATATCTTACTATACTATATTTTGTATGACGCATGTGTTACGTATTTGTCGATATAAAAGCGTAAGATTAGCGTAGTCAAAAATTTGTTTCAGCTTTCCAACGAGTACTTTAAACAAAAAAAATTTCATCATATTATTATCTTTTCGTCAAAATCCACAGATATTTTCGGATAGCTTTATATAATCATACTCCGTTTTATAGCAGAGATAATGGGATCTAGTCCAGGGTTTCCCGAAGTATGGCTCGCGCATTGGTGATTCGCGAGCGAATTTTTAGTGGGCCTTGTCTGTAGAATGGAATAATAATAATAATTTGTTTATTTATTTCTCCCATTTTTACATAATAGAATGACATACTAACCAACAGTTCTACAGAACTGTAAAATACATTTTACGTTTTTTTATCTAAAAAGAAAAAAAAGATTTAGATAGGTCCAGACAACTTTAGGAACCATTGATCCAGTCTATAGAAAAATATAAGTACACAACCACAATTCATTCAAAATTTCAATACGCAAGAGATTCGAAACATAATATCAAAGCATCTCTCAACGACAAACTATCGATAACTATTGAAGAAGACATACAATTCGTATCGATACATCGATATCGACAATCCCGGCTTGTAGGACAACACTATCTTAACTGTAAAGGTGCTGTGAAAGACAGGAGCAGAACCGGGGTGGTTTTTAGTCAAGTAAGAGTCTGACACTCTCGGTCACTCAAGGGGGGAGAAGCCATTGGTTTATTTTTCCCCTCAAAAAAAAAACCGAACTATCTATAAGATATTTAATTTAATGTTATCAATGTGCCTTCCACACGTAGAGATATGAATATGAAATCGTTGTAAATACCTAATTACCATTGTCTTACTGCGATAATTTAAATCGAAAGTTTTATTAAATAGTTCTCCTATCAATTTTAATTTAAGTTAACCTGTTTAAATACCAAGCACTAAATTTGTTCATACAAAAGTAGTCTCTAAACATCGGAAATTAAGGTCTATAATGTAGTAAGTGGAGAGTGGTCAGCGGTGACCGCTTGGGGATTCTAGAGTTTTATTTGTCTGAAGATATATTTAGAAGTATTTGAGAACTCGATTTTTCATCATGAAGGTATCTAAGAACTTAGGTACATAGAAACATAGCACAGGATATAAAATCCTAGAAAAAATCTAGTATAATAAATAGCACACATTTCATAGAATATATGGCTATGTCTAAAGTAGAACGATTAACTTTCAAGTTTTTAAAGTCACCATTAATTAAACAGAAAATACTCCAGCAAATTCTTTAAATGAGACCATTTTAAAATTAAACAAACCAAGAGTTAAGATAGTGTTGTTCCACATCTAATACTTTGACGTTTAACAATTAAATACATATAAACAAAGTGAGATTGTCTATATAAGCTAAAATAACAATGTACAGTTTATATTGTCACTTACACGTAGATTAACAACTAGGGGTTTATTCACCGGGCCCAATGAAAAAGGCACTGACTGCGAAGAACAGGAACACTAGACCACCGATTATGGTAACTGTGGAAGAAAGAAAGAAATGTTAATATAGTAATAAATCATATACTCACCCCCTATTACATGGGACTCATAATATAAATAGTGAAAAGTGGGTGTTACATTGTACAGTGGCATTAAGTGCCGTAATGTGCACCTCTGACTACCCCTTCGGGGATAAAAGGCGTGATGTTATGTTAATAAATCATATTAGATAGTAAATTAATCATAATGTACCTACGGCTTTCTCGTGAAACTGTTCGAGTGTGGCTTGAAATTAGTCGAGTACGCTCGAACAGTTTCGTTGATTACAGGTATTTGAATTAGGTGCGTCTTACAATAAGTTACTATACAAAAATGTTCATCAATTTCGAACAAATGAGATTATAAGGTTTTTTGATCATTGATAATTGACTTTGACGCTTGCTAATGACCGATTGATAGTTTTTCATTGTTTCGGTGCTTTTTGGTTTTGCCTTTATAAGGTTCAAAATGTAATAGAAGTCGTAAAATTAAAATGATAAAGTCTCCAAAACTCCAGTTTCAAACCGCGGAAATCGTAGTTTATCCAGGAGAAGTAAACAAAACAGACAAATATATCAGTCTGGACATGGCCCAGAAATAGCATCATGGCTGCCGGCCGTTTGCCAAACAGCAAACACGTAACGAATGCGTCATAACAATTTATTTCTTACGTTATTTCACTTTTTGCGCGGACATTTATATTTCCATCATCGTGTGTAGGTATTTTGATGAAAATATGCACAGAGATTTTCGAAAATTGCTCGCTGTGTAGTTTAACCTTGGCTATCTCGATTATATTTTTTTAACAATTTTAGGCATTGATATTTCTGGTGTCGTAATAGGACTTATTACGACACCAGAGTAACTTCTGAATTAAAGTTGCCATGAAAATCTCGCGGGAAACGCAGTATCAACCAACCAAACAAGCCTCGCGACAATGAAGTCCAATAATAAATTCCAAAAGATAATCTTAGTGAGAATCAAATACAGTTTTCACTTTCCCTGCATATATAGATGACTTAAGTCTTCAGCAAAGGACTTAAGTTTTTTTTTTATACCACGAAAGTGGCACAGTTTAGTTATTTTAACCCTAGAGTCGGCGCTCTATGAGAATTTTACCGCCCGCGTACGAAAAAACGTTAATAACTGTTATAACAACAGCTCGATAGGCTAGCATAACAGCGTTTTTGGTAGCTGACTCTAGTTTCGTTAGCAGTGCGTGCTGAAAAGTCTGACGCAGTAAATGCGCTGAGGATCGATTGAAAAGAAGTTTGTTACCACCAGGTGGCAAATTGATCACTGAGTTCATACAGACTTTTCGAAAAAAGGCGCCCCCACTCTAGGGATAACAATTGCATACCATTGAATTGACCATTATTCACTAACTAGCTTCTGCCCGCGACTTCGTACGCATAATCCCATTTTTTCCCGTCCCCGTTCGTGATTTTCGGTAAAAAGTAAAAAAAAAAATGTTGGTTAAAAAGTATCCTATGTCGGTCTCTAAGCTACCTCCCTACCAATTTTCAGCCAAATCTATTCTGCCGTTCTTGAGTGGTGTAACTAACACGACTTTCTTTTATATATAGATAAAAAGCTAAAACTTCAAATCACTTACCAGTCCTAACAGAAATCTTGGCAGCAACCATCCGGCCGCCTATCACAGCCAATCCAGTGCAGAGCGCGTGGCCAAGGGAGCCACCGACTACTACACCCACAGCATGTTCCCTCGTCGCCAACACAACGGTCGCAAGCTGTGACCTGTCACCCCATTCAGCCAAGAAGGTCAGTGACGCAGCTTGCAGTAACACTTTCAGTACGGCGTTTCGTTTCCGCCGTCTATTTTCAACCTGACCTTGCTCTAACATGTCTAAGGTCTCTTCTTTTTCTTCCTGGAATACGGAAATTATGGTCAGTTTGGGGCATTTGTGTTTTATAGGTGGTGATAGTGATACCAACTCTTGTTTTTGAACCATGTCCAAATTCATGAGGATTTTAGACATCCTATACTTGGTCCTATGAGGCACAAATTTTGACATTACCTTTGTCTAAACAATCTAGAAATTGAAACAAAGTAACTGCCTTTGGAGGTTACCTGTATACCTAAATAAATATAATTGCTCTGTATCTATTCATTGAATCGTACTTGCTCTAATTAATTTTGAAAGAACAAAGACTATTCTTAAAACTATTTACTAAAGAATTTAGCATAAGCCATTTTAGCTAAAACTGGAAGTTATTTAGATATCACCACTTAGTCACCTGCAACTGGACTAGTCTAAACACATAGGGATATAAAACAACCTAATCTTTCTAATTGTTATTATCTACTCTAATGTTAAGTAAATTAAGTTACAAATCCTTTATTTTGCAAAAACTCAAATATTGTCACACTATTCTAAAATTAGTCCACACTGTCAGTACAGACTAAGTTTAATTACAGACATGTAAATACAGATAGTACATGCTAAGCAAGACAAGAGGCTGAAACGACAAATATTTATAACCATGAAACGGATTTGTAAAAAAAACAAGATTCGCTTGCAAAAAAACAACATCGCCGTGAATAATCTGTGGTGACTGGTTTTTTTATAATTTTGAACACTAGGCTTTTGAGTCGTGTATTCAGCCTTAATGATACTACAGACAATATACTTTAAAACATTGTGATGAGGCGGATCAAAATGCGTGACATTCCAGGCTTCAAATATGCAGTAGACAAGATATGCAGTTGAGGCAGCATTTTTGCATTTAAATGGCTAAGACTTGTAAGATTACAGAGCTAATAAAATGAAAAAGATCGAATTTTATAACTAAAAGATTTCAAAGTCAACCTAAGACTTGAAAAAGTCAGAAATATTTGAAACCTAAAGCAAAATAGCGTGCCCAGAAACTTTTACAAAAAAGTTCTGCTTCTGGTCAGGTGAAAAAAGTATGAATGAATGAGAATAGTACGCGCTAGAACCGGTATTACACAATCAAAGGTTAACTAATGCAATATTTACTATTTGATGGTGTAACGCCTGTCTAAACAACATTCTAATCAAATGCTGAATTCCTTTGCATAATCGATTCAATTCATCTATCGAAGCCTTTCTCGAAACGAATAATGGTATGGTCTGTGCATAACAGAACGTAAAAAAGCTAAGGCTAAAGAAAAAAATAACTATGGTGTCATTCGTACTGCCAGGCATAATGACGTAAGATCACCCTCAGCGGTTCTGATTGCGCCGAGCTGCCCGCTACGGGCTCCGCGGGGGACACTGGCCCTCTCTCCACTTCGGGGGACGAAGGCGTCGGGCTTTGTGAATGAGAAGTCACCACCGATGTCGCGTCAGGCGAATTCGAACGCTCTTTTTGCGCTTCCTGTAGTTTCAATACTGCTCAATCTCGGAATGGCGACTCAGTCGAAGTTACGCTCCATATTCAAATCTCAAACCGTTAATTTTGACAGACGATAAAAGTATAACTTGTCAATAAACAGTACTGGCAACATTTTTGTTCGATGTTTAAAAATCCCCTTCCCCTTTGTACGCAAACAAGATGGCGTATCGTGCGAGCCGGTTATAACTGGGTCAATATAATAAAAATAAAGAAAGGAATTCAACATTTGCAGCTACACTGGTATTAAGACTGAAAAGAATCTACAAATACTTAATTAAATCATAAACATTATCTTATCTAATAAACACGGTTCTGTTTAACTTGAGATCTCTTTAGTTAATTGACCTTCATTTACTAGTTAGTTTTTATAGTACTTGCGACTACCAAAAACATAATTTGAAAGCTAAAAACAGGCTGTCATCACTGCCTGATAATCCAAAATTTCCCACAAACAAACCAAATATTGCAAGCCTAGATTATACATTTGCATGCTTTTAATTTAAAGACAATTAACCTTAGGCACCATTACTTAAGATTATTTCATTAGATACGATAAGAAATCAGTTTATTTGATAGAGATCATGTAAGACAGCGAAGATATTAAATTCGATTAAAGAATAAATTTTACAGTGTGTCATGAAGTGATAACATGGTTTTAAGTGACGTACCAAAGATTTAATGAGAGATAAATATACGATACGTATTAAAATTAGCAATTAGTTTACTTGTGCCAACGATATTTGGAGAATTTTTATTATACGGGTTTGTTTCCGATATGAATTATCAGTTTAAATGTTTTCCATTACTTCGTCTGGGTTTTAGGGTGTTTTTAATATCGTGCGGATTTCGTCCCGCGTGCGGTATTGCCCCGCATGCAGGCCCCGCGCGGTGCTGCTGCCCCCGCGTCCCGCGTCCGTATTCCACGCATTATAATAAATACTTTTATGAAAAGGACATTTGCGGGGCTTACGCATGCGGGGCAATCCCGCACGCGTGATGATATCCGCACGATATTAAAAACACACTAAGGCTTGAATCAATATAAATATTGATGAAATCGTTGTGGATATCAGCATTATAGCTATAAGTCTACTCAAGGTACTACCTAGAAGGTAGGAAACTGTTATGTCGACGTACTAAATGTCTGGACTTTAAAAAGATTACGATAATTGAGTTTCTTTTGGTGCTAAGTAGTAATAAATGCCATAAAAGACTAATCCATAGACTAAAGACAAAGCCTTTAAACAATGTGCTCAATTCAGCGAAAAAGGAAAATTATTGAGGTATTGAAAGTTAAAAACACTAAAGAAATGCAATCTGATAAAACTAAAAACTATTTCAATGGCATCCATATTAAAGACAACGGTATTGCAAATAAATAAAAAATTTGCAAAACGCAAAATTAACTAACAACAGACGACCGGATGCAATCTCTTTGGTAACAAAACAGAGGTTACGAAAAAAAAATCCGGTGAAGGTATAAATTGGCATGGCCACAGAAACTATTGCTAATCTATGGTAACTATTACTAATTCCTATAATCCATTATTTGCAAAACGTAACGGTGATACCGGACTATGCAATGAGTTCTGAAAGTATGAAGTAATATTTTATTACAAGGAAAAAAATTAGGAAGGAAACTAAAATCTAGATCGAATCTGTGTTTTGTAAATATTATTAAGCCATTACCGATTGATAATAAATGAACATGGGTTATTATAATAAAAAGTATAACATATTTAACTGGGTAAACAATAGTACATAATATACTGAATTACTGAAGAACCAAAGAAACCAAACATTTGAATGATGTATGAAGCTTTTTGGATGGAATGAGAGTAATATTATTATTGTTTGTAATAAAAGGGCATCTAAATAGGATTGAAAGAGAAGAGGCCAGACAAAAAAAAGGAAATAATTATTATCAACTCTACTCTAAAGACCCAAAAAAGAGTTCGCAACATTTTTCCCGCGTCTTAATTAAAAAAAAAACAAAAATAAAAACGATTCCAATTTCAAACATTCCACAAATTAATCTAATTAAATTGTAGCAACACTTTAAATAAAGTAATTAAATAACGATTAATCATAGATTATAATAATTATCTTTGTTACAGATAGGGACTGGAATTAATGAAAGCCGCAAAATCGATAAATGTGAATCAAGAATTTTGATTTCCGATATTATATTTTACTAATTGCTTTATAATGTGTGACCCATGTGAATCGGATTATAATGTAAAATGATATTGATGAAGAATGTAACGTAGGTAAAATTTAATATTGTCAGGCCACCGATTAAAATAGTTTAGATATACGAGTACCTATTACAAGCGTATAGCGTTTCAGCTGTGTCCGATCGGGTACACAATTAATACTAATAGTTTTGAAAAAACATAAAGAATTGTACCTTCTCCAGTAAATAGTGATTAAATGCTATTTCAATTCAAATGTAGGTGATAAAGGAACGATGAAACTTCAAGAGTATTTAAAATATAAAAAATTTATGTAAAATTGTTTTCGTCGCAGTCACGTGTTTTGATAAAGCCTTTCTATCTATCGAGGTCTTTAGCGCATGCGCGTCCAAGTACTCTTCACTCGCCAAATAATAAAACAGTATAAAACATCCTTGGGCCATTCAGATAGCGGTGTAGAAAAACCTAAGTTCAACGAAAAAGGGGAAGGAGATTTCAGTAAGAAAATAATTGAAAATAACTATCTAGACAGTACTTTGCTTACAGAAGAAATAAAATAATTTTGTATCACACTTCCCTAAATTCCTAAATTACAAAACACTCAAACAATTGAGCTTCTAAAAAAGAAAACAAAATTACAATTCTCGGTTAAAAAACCAAAGAGGTTCACATACCTGATCTTCTCTTCTTTTCAATTCACTTTGTACTTCTTCTAATTCTTCTTGACCTTCGTTGGGGTCCATTTTCCAACCGTCCCTTAACATTTTTATACCAAATATCGCGAACAACACAGCACTTGCGTAGTAGGTGTAGACTCTAGGTATGACCGTGGCTATCCATCCGAAGGCAGCTGATAATATTGTCATAAACACCAGTGCAGATATGGCACCGGCAAAGACTATAATCCTCGGATGTTTCATGGCCATAATAGCCGCTATGAAGAAGGTCTTGTCTCCCAATTCCGAGACTACCACCACGGAAAGGGAGGCAAGGAAACCTTGCAAGAAACTGCCCTGGATCGCTGCTCTCTGGAAATAAAAGAAAAAAATAAACGTTTTAGTTACGTTTAAAAAACATTACAGTCTTTTTTGGACTCTGATTTCGTTAACATCACACAACACGTTAACTGTGTAATTAAATATAATGATTTTCATTTAAGCGGAAGTAAATCATAATTTTTATGTATTGTTTCTAAATTGACAATGAAGGACTATTTTGCTTTTTTTTAGTAGTCGCAAATGCGACTGCAGGGCAAGGGGTCTCGGGTTCAATTCCGGGTCGGGCAAAGTATTACTGGGTTTAAAAAAAATTCTCAGTAGTAGCACGGAGGTTGGAATCGTGCCCGGTATATGGCAATAGTCTCACACCCTATTACATAGGACTCATAACATAAATAATGAAAAGTGGATGTTACATTATATTGTACAGTGGCATTAAGTGCCGCAATGTACACCTCTGCCTATCCCTTCAAAGGCGTGATGTTGTTAACGAAATTGTGATTTAAATGTATTGCTTCTAAATTGACAATGAAGGACTTTTTTCTATTTCATATTACACCTCAATGTATCATTTCTCCTATTATTTTCATTCTAAATTGATATCCAGTCGAACAGCATTGGTAAAGAATTCGCAATATATCATAAAGCTCAGACTTTCATAGACATACCGGTTTCTAGCAACATTCTATTTTTCTATAGAACTAGATCGAGGAACTATTATCAAGCCATTGACTCTAAAACCGTTCACTTGTTTTTCTAAAAATATACCAGATGTGACCATTTTGGAAAATAAATCTAAATATTTTGTACCTCCATTTTTAGTTACATCTTTTTCTACAGTGTTATTGAAAATCAAAACTACATCTTAGATACTGATTAAGTCGTAGCTTTACTGTTCTTCAACCTCATCTAATTCCGTCCAGTACCTTAAGTAAAAGAATTAAAACCATCCATTCGTCTTGTCAAATTCTTGCGTATGAACTAAACATATGATCATTCATTATGAAGTCATAAATATACATCAAATAACTACGGAACAATTAGGGAAACGGCTATAAAAGAACGGGGAAGTCCTAAGGCTTGGTATGTATCATCAAATTAGCTCACCACATCATATAAGTGCAGTGACGCACCATAATATACGTATCATGCCAATTAGATACAGTCTGTATGTATGTAGTTAACATGGTGGCACGATAGAATTTATTAGTCTCGTTCGAGTAAATAGTATCGAAGTAGTTAATTACGTAAATGGTTATTTAATAAATAAACCGTTCGTTTTAACTCAACATCATCAGCACCTATGGCCCTATCCTTACATATTATAATTAAAAAAAAAGCTTCTGTGTCTTAACTAAAAATCGCGAGTTATTCAAGACGCGATCTCTGACCATTACAAGAGAAACATTAACCTCGCGATCTAGCCCGCTTGCAAACTCCTTTTACTCAGAGGAGGTTATTCAAGTGAAAATGCTGAGAAAATCTCTACTAGTTTCGAGCCTTTGAGGTATATCGCCGCGACCGCACACGCTCATAAGGAAGAGCCTCTATGTGCCTCGAAACTACTAGAGCTTTTCTCAGTATTTTCACGTGAGTAATTCGCGATTTTTAGTTAATTTAGTGTGTCTCACGATAGTATAAAAACTTCTTCTGGGTCTGTTTGATATAAACTCAAAAATGATTGATCAGATTTCCATACAGTTTTCACTAGTGAATAGACTGATTCTTAAGGAAGGTGTGTTTAATTCGTAAAGGCATTGAGCACCATGCCTTTACGAATTATGAAGACAGCAGTCTAAAGATAGCTCAGAGGCCTTAGTACGAGTTTGATTACACGTTTAAAGTATTCGAAACGAGTACGCGTTCGGTAATCTGATTGGCCGGCGCCAATGAACCAACCAATCAGAGCGCCGAACGCGTACTCGTTACGATTACTTTAAGCGTAAAACAAACTCGTACTAAGGCCTCTGAAGGCTAATCCAATAAAATAGTCAGTAAAGCGTAAACGTTTTTCTCATCACATTTAAGCAGGACGGAACTTGGTCATGGTTGAAAGGAATAAGAGGCTACAGTCAGTTTTTTAGCAAACCCCATTAAGAACGGACGCGGAAATCTTCCTGTACTTAGGCACCAAACAATTACATTTTCAACATTCAACTAGATAACAAGAATCCTATGTAATCTCAATTTATATTTGCACGTACGGCTTCTAATTTTATGAAGCTGATAATATTAAATTACCGTGCAGTAAAAGATAGCATAATAATGAAGCTTAACGCGTAATTGTGTTGTGAAAACGAAAGGAAATATAGTAGGGCTTATCATGTGTATTATTAATGTTATAAACTCGTTGTCGGGGAAGACTGTATGAGAATAATTTCATTTATAAACAGATGGTTCATGTTTGTGCATAGCAGAAGGAATTTTAGGTACTATCTTCTCTATTGTTTCGTGACCATGCGATTTCTCATTGACTGGTTTTATTCAAAACTATAGAAATGTCATTCTTAAATGCGGTTGCCAACTTATTATTCACATCATTATTACATTCCTAACTTAATAAAAAGGTAGTAAAACATTTTCAACTCATCCAAAGGTATTTTTGAAACTTCGGTGCGGTTCGGTTCAGAATCTGCGTCCAAATTAGTACTTATTTTAACAGGTATATCTAAGTTGAACCACTTTCCAGTTTAGGACATTAAAATAAATTTTAATCAACTCATTATTCAGATAAAACAACCCAAAGAAAGTTTTGAGACACCGTTGTTACCACGAGTTATTGCGACCTCGCCAAACTCAGAATCAATGGGGTTTTTTTTTCGAATGCAATGCACGTCTGATTCTTGGCCACGCGCGAAGCTATTAGCAATGCATCGTTTTAGCAAAGCTATAAATAACATCGTTTAATTTTACAATGGATAGGTATAGGTAGTTATTTGCCACTGTCTTTTGTTTTTTAATTATATTTGATGGGCCGACGTTTGACCCCTATGTTGTATTTATGTTTATGGGTTAGGGTGGTAAACGAGGAGACAGATCACCTGATTGTAAGCCATCAGCGCTTCTCATGAAGAGTAACAAATACGTTCTCAGCCTTTGGTTAGGATTGGGCCTTCGCTAACTTCACTCACACGACGAAACACAAAACAATAATTGTTTCACGTCAGTTTTCAGTGAGGCCGTAGTATCACTCTGGTCGAGCCAGCCCATTCATGCCAAAATATGTCTGACCCATGTGAAACATACACATAAAGACGAAATTCGTATGAGCGGTGAAGATAAGGGATTTTCTCTGACATTTTCCGTTTTGTTTAATCATAGTGACGTCATATAATGCACATTAGATACTTGCATAATATACACGTGTCTGGTGAGTGAAGTGTTGTGGAGTGGCGTAAAATAAACAAAGAGTAGGGTTATGTCACAGTAAATTTACAAAATATGGGTGGGTAAGCATAGACTACGTAGACTTTGGCATAAACTCGAAAACTACTGATCGACTGTTTATGCAATTTTCGCCAGGTGAACCTATTCAAATTTATACACGAGGAAGGATTCCGTGTAAAAAATAGTATTGTGTACAGACATTATCCGCTTTAACGAAAATGTACATAATTTTAGTCCAGTAACGCGGACTAGTAACACATTAAAATATATCAATTATTACAATACGTTTAGGTAAGCAACATATTACTGAATTTCATATGATAATTATGAAGTAATTGTCACTTACCAACAAATTACAGAAGTTATTATTTCATTGCCATTGATAAAGGTAGATAAAAAGATTAATTAATAGTTTTTAGGTAATTATTTGTCTGTTTTTATAGTCAAGGACCAAAACAATTGAATTGTACTTCAATATTTCTTTAATAACAACCAGTAATTAAGTCTAAAAATGAACTCATCATCATCATCATCATCATCAACAGCCTATAAATACCCACTGCTGAGCAAAGGCACGAAGAAGGTTTGAGCATTAATCACCACGCTTGCTCAATGCAGGTTGTAGATTTCAAACTTTGAATAGAAATTATAAGTCCAGGTTTCCTCACGATGTTTTCCTTCACCGTTTGTCAGTGATGTCTAAATAATCTTAGAAAGTACATGTAACTCGGAAAAAGTCACATTGGTACTTGCCGTTGGTAGGTTTCGAACCGGCACCCTCATTCATGACAAACCTCTTATACCTCCGGGCCACCACCACTCACACATTGTTAAAAATGAACTCGGAGGCAAGAAACTCTTTAGAAGATTAGCTAGGAGTCATGAATGTGACATTAAAAGTCTTAGTACTTGGTAAAAGAGTCCTAAGCAGTCCCGACGTCCTCCCTATTGCAAGACGACGCTGAAGAAGAAAAGGCTAATGGATATTTAGAAGAGAAAGGAAAAAAGAAAGAGTTATAAAGCATAATAACTTTCGTGAGACATACTAAATTAACTAGACATATCGGTTTAATCACGTAAATAGATTGAGAACAGCCCTACTGGTTTCAAGTTACAATGGGACTCTTACTCATGAGCAGCGTGCGCAGATGTACTTAGGCTGCGCGACGTTACTAGAGACCTCTTCACTACATAGTATAAAACAAAGTCGCTATCCAGCACCGTCTGTCTGTCCCTATGTATGCTTAGATCTTTAAAACTACGCAACGGATTTTGATGCAATGGATTTTTTGTAATAGATAGAGTGATGCTTAAGGAAGGGTAATATGTATAATACATGCATAATATAGTAGAGAAACACTGACAAATTAAGAGGTTTCTAATTGCGACCGTGCGAAGCCGGGGCGAGTCGCTAGTTAGGTATAGTTAATATTCTGTCATAGACGTGTGCATAGAACTTTAGAACTAATGAGGGGAATAGAATATCTATTGTAATCTACAATAAATAATTACGACAATGATACTAGTTACAAATATTGACTGACTTTGATATTACATAATATGAATAATATACGGTACGGTATATGCGGTAAATAACGTAACTTGTGTAATAAATGAGATTTCATTTTCTAGATGAAACTGCA